ATTAATATAAAATGTTCATTGCCTTAATTCCACCCCTGACTCTTTTTGTCCTACATCCTCCCTGTGCTTTGTGAAAGTTGGCAGGTCATTAGTTAACTCCATTGTTGTTCCCAAGCAAGAGAGAATGAATTTGCCTGGGGTAAATGAAACTGAGACTGGCCAGAATCATCACAGTGAATTGCAGAGGGTGGCCACTCTAAAACTCTGGTCTAGATGTTTTCTCAGCCCAGGGAAGCTCATGGCTAAGCACTTGTGCAGCTCCTTGGGGCTCTGAATGAGGCAGGCCTACAATTAGCTCCAGCACAGTGACTGTGACAGTCATTAAGTGGCACTGGGCCTACCCCACATCTTTTTTTTTTTTTTCTTTTTTTTCCCCTGAAAGAGAGGATTGTAATGTGTCCTTGGATGGCAATGCCTCATCCTGCCCATCCCGCGTGATCACGATGCTCTGGCAGTCATGCGATGGACTGACACAGCTATATGGCACTCTAGGAAGAGCCAAAAGACAAATTATGATTCAGAATAAAACTGCCCTAGGGTAAGGAAGCGCCTGGACTTTTTTTTTTTTTTTTTTTTTTTTTTTCCAGGATATGCCTTATTGCTGCAAGCCTTTAAACAGCTTCGTCTCCATTGGCAAACATAGTTGAGCAGCTCCCTTCTGATTTCCCCAGGATGGCTGCCACCATGTGACAGCACCATGGGGCAGCGCTAATGGGGAATTATTATCTCCCTGCCTCCCCATAAAGCAGTGCCTGCTCATTCTCTTTGTACTTCCTTCCTTATCAGAGTCTTCTCCCCCTCCCAAATCACCGAGGGCCTGACCCTCACCACACGCTCTGTCGGGCTGCTGAAGGCTGGTGCTTGCTGCAGCAACCGCCGACCAAACAGCCGGAGCTGTTGCCGGTACCACGGGGCCACCAGACCCCGCTTGCTTGGGGTGGGCAGAGTGGTGGAGAGGTAACTGTGGCACCCAGGGCACGTGTCCAACCGGAGTGTCACAGGGCGAGATTTAGTACGCCCTTTCATGGCTGCTGCGCTCTCTCCCTGCTCACAGGGAGAACGCCCAACACTATTGTTTGTTCCCCCTTTCTCTCATTCGAGGAAATGCTATGAGTAGGTCATGCCTTTTTGAATCCTAATGTAAAAAAAAAAAAAAAAAAAATTTCAACTGTCATTTAAACAGAACTAAGAAACAAGAGGGTATAGCAACAGCTTCAGGCCCTGCAGGAGAAGACTGATGTATGGAAGGCATAAGCGTGCTGTGATCATTCCATTATACTGTGTTTTTTATTATTATTTGGGAATTTACAATGACTGTTCATGATTCTTTTTGTCCTTTCTGGTATGTGTCCCGTTGGCTTCGGAAATCTGTTTTGCTTATCTTTGAGGCTGGTTATATTTAGACTTCAGAGCTGGTATGCTCACGACATGGCCCAGTCCCAAAGCTACCAGCTATCTACGCTGGAGCTGGAGCTGGGGCAGGCTACCCACTCCATGGTCTCTGCATCCATCAGCTTTTGCACATGGGGTAGCAGGACCCACACTGCCCTGTCAGGGAGTCAGGACACGGCCAGGATACACACCTGGGCCAAGGAGATGGGACACATCTCTGGGTCACACGGATTAGACATAGCCAGAGTTTGCCTTTGAGGAGAAGGGGATCCAATATTATGTTCACATCTGCTCACTCTCTGTCGTGTGACAGTTCCTTCAGAGCCGGCCCCCCAGCAAACTTGATTTCACGGAGTATCTTCTAGAAACTGTTTAACCTGAAATGTAGTTAAACAAAAGCTAAATGAAAGTGAATAACCATATAAGCAGCTGGTTGTGGAAAACCGTGTGACAGACACTTGAGAAATGCCCTTTAGTCACTGGAAGGTATTTCCCAATGTCTCCTTGGGATGTTTTGTGTCTGTGTCAGCTGATGAAAATACTGTCTATATTTCTGCAGCCATGGGTGATTAGGAATTGCTCCCACAGCATAATTTAAACCTGCCAGGCTTCTCCAAGGAAACGGTCAAGTGAGCAGAGTTTGATTTTGTATGACTGAACAAGATCTGCTTCATTTGTGTTTTGTCAGGGCTACATAACTTGGGTCCATATAGAAAGTGTAACTTAACACTCACGCTGTGTGTCCAGGTTCAACTTGGCTGTTTCCTGAATCGCAAAAGGCAGCAGTCTCTCTGTTACATTGAGCCCTGGGTAGGCACAGACTTTTTGGGGATAAAGAATGGGAGCCTCCAAACAATGCAAAGGGCCTAGAGTCCAGTGGTGTTAAAAGGTTCATTTAAATTTTCATTCTTATCTCTACACCATAATTAATATAAAATGAAAGTTTCTGTTTGTTCTGGGATCAGCTATTGCTTAGCTTACCTTGCAGCAGAACATACTAAGGCCTCATTCATTCACATTATAACTTATGTATTACTAGCCAGTTGGAAAATGATGACAGATTTGCATCCTGTTCTGCTCCGTTTCGGAGCTGATGTTCACTGACTTGCAATAACCGTATATTTGCATAGGGCCTTTAACTCCAAAATATTTTAGTTTTACATGACTTACGGGTGGTCATTTCTGTCAGCCTTGAAGCGCAGTGACTTCAGGGTTGGAATGTGGCAGCCGGTTACCAGCACACGCTATATAATAGTGTATTGTGAGAATATCTTATCCATATGAACTGCAAACAGAATTTGAGCAGGCAGGTATTTGATTCAGAAACCAGGCTAACTGCCCTAAGCCTTACTTCTTGCTACAAGATACTCAATACCCATGAATAAACAAGCCCCAAGTTCACCTCTCTTTTGCAGAACCGTCTTCCCTCCAGTGTAGTGCCGGCGTAGGGCTTTGCTGCCACAGACTCCCCGAGGCCCCTGCTGAGCCCCCCAGCAACCACCTCTGAGCATCTGACCCTCCGAGGTGCCGCTGAGCCTCTTTGTCCCGAACGGAGCGTGTCCCCGCACAATGGGGATACAGCTGTCTGCCTGCCAGAGTTAATGAGCGTAGAGGGTAGGCCTTCAATTACAGCTTTTTTCAGCCATATTTCTCAAAGAGCTGTACAGAAAAAAAAAAAAAAAAAAAAAAAAAAAAAGAGGTATTCTGCTCCTCCTTTTATACAGGAGGAGGCTAAAATGCAAAGAAATTAAGTAACTTGTTGAAGATTACAAAGCAAATAATCGGCAGAACTCAGAATCAAGCTTAGCTCCCCACCCCCACATCCCTCCACCACTTTGTGCATCTAACGAGGCACAACTTAAAATCCACCACTTTTTAACTTTCATGGTAAAGGAACAATTCTGCTACAGCTTTCTGTTTGACTTTCTTTGGCTTTGCATCAAACCAAACCGGCTGTGCTCTTTATTTTATACTTACTGCCACCCTAAGGAGGTTCTTTTATGTGTGGACGCCATAGAAATTAAGTTTTAAACTAGAGTTTAGCAGGATCAAATTTTTTGATACAAAATAAGACTGAAACCCAGGTCTTGTAAAAAAGGGTGGAGGGGCAAAGAAAGAAAGGCAATGGTCACTTCTCTCCTATCGCTATATGGTCCCAGTCCAATAGGAACTGCTGGCTCCAAGCAGGCTGCCAGAGGTCTGGAGTGCTGGGACAAAAGGCCAAAAAACCATCTTTTTTTCCATCCAGACAACATTTTAGGTGGAAAAAGACGGACATATCCAGGGACACCCAGATGAATAGTAGCCCTAACAATGCCAATTTTTCCGCTTCCAAAGTTGTTTACACCCACAAAATTAACTGTGGTGCCAAACTGCAAGGAGAGTTGCGACTCCCTTGAATGTGTGGTCTTTATTGGAAAGGCCAAATGAAATCATTTTGAATTATTAGACATATTAACAATGCCTGAGGGTGTCATATACAAATAGCTGACACCTTTGAGTACTGACGCAATAAGGATGGACAAGAACATGAGGTGAGGCTGGTGGGAGGAAAGGTCTTTTTTCGATGTGTCCAAGGTAGAGCAAGTTTTATTACTGGGCTAGAAACGTATAGTATCCCAGGAGTGAATAGCTCACACATTTGATCCGATCTTGGGCTCAGTCCAGCTCCCACTGAAGTTTAATGGGAGTTGGATCAGGCCATTGCACTCACATTTTTTCCATGCATGGAAAACTATTTCCGTTACTTTGAATTACAATACCACTGGCTTTGGATTTTATATAATAAAATAAATCTAGGCCACTGTTTATATTCCAAGAAACTGCATTCTGGGATGCCAACAAATATATTGCCTGTTGGATTAAAAAAAATAAAATAAAAACTGGACACATTGGTTTAAAAAAACAACAGCTCCTAATTATTAAACATAATTTTTCTTCCTTGTGCTTTTCTGGAGTCCTCAAATATTTGAAGTATGAAAGGTACATATAAATTCTTCTCTGGTGGCTGAAATGGTGGAATCTGTAAAACTGCAATGCTTTATAAGAAACAGAGGCTTGATATAAAAATAATAATGTTCATGACTAGCTCTTTGCTTATTGGCATATTTTGTGCATTTTAAAATTTACAGTGAAAAAAAACAAACCAAAAAACCAACACCCTGGGAATGTCAGTAACAAAGGGGATGTATATTAGCAAACCCTTATATTTTGGGGACTGGCTTCTCTTGATTGTTCTGACTGCAAATGAACTCTGCAGATGCTGAGGCACAGGAAATGTCTTGTGCTAGAAAAAGCATTTGTTCCCTGCTTTATGAATTGGATTCTACTAAAATCCCAATGTGGTAAGACTGATTAGCAGACTTTGGTAATGCCTTCTGCCCTAGTACAATTTTATTATACTCTTTTATTACCAAGGAAAAACACAGAAAAGACTTCCATCAGTGAACATACGCCCACATTCTGGGAGCAAACGTATCTGTGGTTAGCTTATGCCGAGGAATAGCATGGCCCCTGGACTCTGAAATACAGAGCAGCAAAATAAAAGACACCCCACCAAAAGAGTAAAACAAAAACACACATATACACAACCAACAGAGGGAAAGAAATGTCATTGAGGGGTGTTTAATGTTAAAGAGAAACTATACATCTGGGATGGTGGTGAGGAGGATTTAATAGAGCTGAACAAGGAGACCACCTGCATCCACTTCAAAGAGGAAAACCGGCAGCGGTATGAGGAGTGCTTATGCAGCCATGTGCACGTGTGTGCGTGCAATGCTTCCTTCTACTGACAAAACATGAAGTATATTGCCTTTGCAAACATCCCTGGGCACTGGCAGCTCCTCCTCTATATTGACAAATTAAGGTTCAGCATGGGATTAAAAGAAAAAAAACAAACCAAACCAAAACAAAAAAACAAACCTCCCTCACGCACATAGCCCCGTAGTCTGAGCTGGACAGACCTTCCCCTTTGCCCAGGCGGCACAGAAGAGCTAGGTGCTGGCTTCACGGGGACGCCCAGGCTGTGCACTGGTCAGCCACAGTCACACCTTCCTTCCTCACAACAGCAGGTTGTAAACCTTCCTCCACCACATCGTGGTCTGTGCAGCGTCCAGGAATAGTTCACAGGACTCTGGATTTTAAGCCATATTCTTGGAGAGGAGCCTTGGCTAACTTTCCCTCTTAACGCGACAAAGCCCTTTAGAGGGATCGAGAATTGGTTCCAGGTTCCCCAGTGGGTTTAGTGGGGTGGCAGGGTTTGAAACTCAGGTAACTAGGACTCACCCGCATCCGGCTGTAATTTCAGATGTGCAATAACTATGCCAAATGCCGAGATTTACCGATGAGAGAGCAGAAAGAACCCACTCTTCTCCTTCTCGCTGGCTTTGTTTCTGTAATGAAAAAGTGTGTGCTTGTGTGCAGGGGGGAGTTCACTTTGTCAGCACCTCCTCAGCCTCTTCACCCTGACTGAAACATCCAAGGGGAGATGCACTCAAACTCCCCAGCAGAACTGAAGGAACGGCAAACCAGCTGGCCTGATGGGGGAAATTTCAAAACCAAAATGTCTCTTAAATAAGCTTCTTTAATTATTATCATCATCTGTTTATTTATACAAATATAAAATATATTTATATAGATTTATATAATATAGATTTGTTGCTTTGGTGGCTCCTTTCATTTACAGACGTACTGGTCGACTATCTCTGTGCACTTTTTACACTTGACATAACAGCACCAATGGAACTTGCAGTGGCAACGCTCCACCTGGACGCTCTTGAACTGGTCATAACCCCGTCCGCAGCACATCAGCTCGCACCCATCCATGCCCTCTGAGGTCTTGTTGCACAGTCGGCCCTGGGTGCCCAGAGAGCCCGTGGTCTCATTGCGCAGGCAATAGTCCGGGCTGGGGTCGACGTAGACCAGGTCCTCTTGCGTCGGCATGTTGAAACGGTTGTTCACCAGCTCCAGCTTGCCCTTGCGGCTGATCCTCATGGCAGCGGCGCTGTCGTACTTCTCCTTCAGCAGGTCGCCCACCTTGCGGAAGTCAGCCAGCTGCAGCCAGCAGGTCTTCAGGCTGCACGAGCCCGACACGCCGTGGCACTTACAGGCCACGTCCGCCAGCTTGTACACGGCCTGCGGGAAAAGAAACGCCATCAGGCAAAGCTGTGTTAATTCCCGCCTGCGCTGGCAGCTGGCTTAAGTATAAGGAATTCATCACGTTTTCCTAGCTGCCTTGGTTATCCCCCGATTTCTGTTGTGTCTCTTCCTTCAGAAGAGGCAAAAGTCTCCTCCTCCTTCTGTTGCATTCCTGTTCCCTAAATATTTCTATTTCTGGTCACACTGCCTGCAAACATGACTTCCCCACCCCACCTTCTTATCCCCTGGCTGATTTCTGACTTGACAGCAGGGTCAAGAGCAGGAAAGAACAAGAGTCCTCCCTACCCGGACCCTGGAAATTCCCCCAGTCTCATGGACCATCGTGGTATTGGATGTTTTTCACTTCGGAGCTGCAAAAAAAGGAAGACCTGGGAACATGCCCATTTCCTACCACCTGCACCAGGAACCGACAGCGATTCGTCTGCACCCTTTTGAAATAAAACCACGGGCACGCGCCCTTTCCCTCTGTCTCCGCCGAGAGGAACCCGTCCAGGGGCAGCGTCTAGGGGAGCCGTTGCTTTCCAGAGAGGAGCAAGCAGGGGTGACGCGGGGATGAGGAAAGAGGAACGCCCCTCCCCGGGAACAGGGCAGCTCCCCTCTGCCCGAGGGGCTACCAGCGCCCTCCGTGACGAGCGGGCCCGAGGCGCGAGCCCGACCTGCGAGCCTGCGCCATCTTGTGCCCAGAGCTGCCCCTGCACCCACCGCTCTGTCCCCACGCAGAGCGGCCTCCCTTTTACACAGCGAACGCCAGACTCCCGGGGGCTGTCTTTTCCCAAATACTTTCAGCTACGTTTTCAGGAGTCTGCGGGGGCTGTAGAGCCATCATCAAATCCGGCATCAAAACCAACAAACAGCCTTAGAAGTCTAGGCCTGTGAGCGTTAAACCCTGAGCAAAGCAAGTACATGATGTAAAGGAAAACCGTGGTTACTCTCATCCCCACACTAGCTGGGAGGGCACAAATACTGAAAAATAGAACAACAAAGCTCAAAATAAACTGAAAATGAAGGTTGTGTTTGTTCTTTCTGTTAATTTCACAGACGGGTACAAAACTGCACGCTACGTGGGATCCCGTCAGCACGCACGGGTACTGACAGCGTTTGCAAAGCGAAGAGCTGGCGTCCCCACGCAATCAGAGCTACTCCGTGTTAGAGCAGCAACCCCCCCTCCTTGGTCCTCACGTTCTCACCATCAGGCTCACATCTGCTCCCCCATGACCGTCCTGCACGTTCGCAGGGCAGTGCTCCTGCCAGATCCCACGTGCCAAGCAGAGCTGTTTGGCGTAAGCTGCAAAATTACCACCAGCTGTATCTGGTGGGGCAGATCAAGGAACGTGAGAAAAAACTAGGATGTTCTGAAGGAGATGGCAATATGTCTTCTAGCCAGGTTTTCTGCTGAAGAAAGCAGCCAAACACTGAGGTCTCTTTTCTGCCTCGCTCACCAACACAGATGAAAACTCCCCAGCTCTCTGCATTTGCTTGCCAAGGAGTAGGTGATTAAGGCAATTGAGCATACTGCAAGCAAAACCTTCTGCCTACGACTACTTTCTGGACCAGCAGCGAGAGGTCACAGTTCTACAACAACTGGTTGCTCCTGGTCTAACTAACATCTAGTGCTTTTGACAGCTAGTGAAGATCCAATTTGGCTTAATGGCTAAATCACATGGAGGCCAATCCAGCTCCCAAAAAAGTCAGTGGAGTGAGTCCTTAAAACAGAGGAGCTTTAGTTCTGCTTCTTGGAGCTCAATTTACTGAGGCAATCCCTCACAGCGCAATCTAACAGCTACAGGCTGGGAGTTAAGCACTTGTCTTGGATCGAACTACAACTGCAGAGGACCAACCACACTGTTACTTAAGGACTCCTGCTGTACTATAACCAGACAGAGCTACAGCTGAATTTCCCGAGCTCCAGACACTTACTATATCCTCACTGCATTGCCAGCCTGCTTGTTATAAGCCTGTGTTAGCACTTTTTGGTTATGGTTCTGTCAAATCCCAGGCCACTTGTGCCTCTCTTGCCCTTGCATGTGTTTTTATAAAGTATTATGATTCTTCCTAATCCTCGGCTTTGTTCCTTTAGAAAAACACTGCAACTCGATCCCTCTCAGTTAATGTCATGGGACTGAGTTCACTCCGCCTTGGCTTTAAGCAACTGATGCTCAAAACATCTGGCCCATGTGGGTAGTAGCTGTGCTGGGGAATGCGAACGCTACCAGTTATCACAGGTAAGCATGGCACTGCTCAGCCTCCCACAGCTCTCATTATCAGCGTCCCATGGAGGTAATCATAGCTTCAGCCACTAAATGGCTCTCCCACTCTCCCCCTTTGCTGCCTGGATGGGGAGAAAGCAGAGGAAATTGGAGAATTCCTCTCTGGCCGGGCTCAGGTCAAGGTAAAGAATAACAGACCCCACATGCAGTTCTGAGAGCAGGGTCTGATCGATGGCCATGCCACTTAAACAGGTTGAAAACACCTCTAATGGAAAGGCTTAAAGCCCCTTCCCATAAGCCCAAGTTCTCTTCCAATTCTTTTCTTGCAAGAACAGGAACGGAAAGAGAATTAATGGGGAATTCCTATGTGGTCAATTAGCCAGACCCCCTTCCAGGCTCCTCTGGCAGGGCCTTGAGTGACTGATGACTGAGGCCTGCCATATGCCGACTGGGTAAACAGCGTGGAAGGACTGACTGCCACAGTCCGCCAGACAGGGCGGCAGATAAGGAACAAGGGGGAAATAAAAGAGGGTAATGGAGACCAATTGGGAGAAAAAGACAGATGGAAGGAAAGGACATATTGAGATAACAGCCAAAGACAAACAAACAAGGGCAGTAAAGCCAGGAGCCACCACCACAAGGACTCTGACGTGGAGTGAAGGGGTGATGGGGTCAGAAGTGCCTGAAAGATAAAAGACCTGTAGTCCCCTCCTGTCCCTCTCAGCTCCTTCTGAGAACCACAGAGAGCAGGGACAATGTTCTCTCCTGCCACCAGACCTCCTCAGGGTTCAAGGAGAACTTTCTCACCCTCAGGAAACTGAATGAGGGGGACACGCCAAAAGTCTTCCTGGAAATCAGAAGAGATCAGCTGAAACACTGGCTGGGAAAGTGTGGCAAGGCTGTTTGTGGGGTGGCACCCGGTGGCCACTTAGCAATGCTCACTGCCGTGTCTCCAGTACTCCTTCCTCTCAGCACCAACTTTTGGGAGTATGGAGTTACACATGCACCTTCCTACTTCCAAAACCAGAATCTCAGAAGTGAAAACATTTAGGAATGCAGCACTAGATGGGACCTCCTCAGTTATTAAGTATGATCTCTTGCTATTATAGGCACTGCTTCAAATAATATTTTCCTTAAATGTACAGAGTACCCTTTTAAAAGCAATTAGCTTTTCAGCCATCATTATTCTGATCACTGTTCCAATGATAAAGTATCTTTTTTCTATTTTCCAGCCTAAATGTATTCACTTTATGCCCATTTGCTATTGTGCCAAATTGGCCTTTTGCTTAAAAAGTACTTTTCCTCCCCTATTATTTCTCCCACGAACACAGACATCAGTCATATCCTCTCTCAACTTTCACTTTGCTAGGCTAAACATGGCAAGCTATTCTAGCCCCCTTTCTTAAGAAAAGATTCCTATCCCTTGGGTCAACCTTAACAAGCCTTTTCTAGTCTGAGGTCATTTTGCTTGGGAATATGAGAACATACAATATTTTGGGGCCTCACAAGAGCTTAGCACAATGGCATTAGTAGTGTAGACCCATGTTTTATGAAAAGACTTTCCCTAGTACATTATATGATATTTACCACCGTCCGAGCCACATTACCTCTGCAGTCATCTGCAGCTGAGTGCTGTGCCCAATTCTTTTCCACTCATTTCCTAATGACTAACATGTTTTTCATACAAGACCTCAAATAATGATCTTAACGTAGTTTTATTGGATGTCATTACCTGCTGTGCAAAATTTGGATTCTCCTCTGTATTCATAATACCTGCCACCTTTGCATGATCAGCAAATTTCATCAGCCCATTCCTAATTTTTGTGTTGAGGCTGAGAAACAAAAATACTAAGTGTCCGTCTTGAGGCAAGTCCTTGAAGAATTCTGCTAATTAAGCTCTGTCAAGATCAAGATATATCCTTTCACACTACTTACTGACATCTTTCCTTCAACCAGTTTCTTGTCCACCTCATAGCTGCTGCATTTTTCCTTATCTTTTCCAATTTAACCAAGTGTTTCCCATGTGGGAAATACATAAAATGTCTCCCAGAAGTTCAGATAAATGAGATCAATCAGATCTATTTGCTTCTAGGAAATCAGTGATGTTCTAAATGATTGTGTGATGAAACTTTGAGAAATTCTTCTCAAATTACTTCCCATTTTGCTTCTTCCTCTGGCATACCCGTTCCCCCAAGGTCCTCCTGTAAATGCTGCCCAGGTCACACTGCCTGTGCTGCCAGGTGCCAGCTCTTTCAGAGTGCCAGGAAAGAAAGTGGACAGTCCTGGTGACTTGAGAGCTTTACGCTACCTGAGTTTTACTCCCACCTTGGTTGTGATAATTTCCATTTCCAGCCTTTATCCTTTGCTCCCATGCTAATATATTTCTAAGGGCTGCTGCTCAGCTCCTCTTCCTCTACCTGCCCGAAGAGGACAGCTGCCCCCGCATGCTTTCCTTGCTCCCACAGGGCACCAGCACCATCCGCCACTGCCCACTGTGATAGACCTTGCCTGTCCCCAGGGCACTCTGCCTGGCTTCCCCCAAAGAGCACAGTCCTAGGTGGATTTAAAAAATCAACACTACAAGCACTTACTCTCCTAGGCAGAGGTGTTGAGGACAGAAGAAGATATCTTCATTGTGCAGTAGACATACGCTACCCCTCCCCATGAGCAGTGCCCCCTATTCCAACTTGAAGCCCTGGGTAAAGCACTCACTTTGGTGACCAAAACTGCTCTGTCTTTAGACTCAGCCTCATCTCACTGACTACCAGTCTCCTTTCTTCCAATCTCCTCCAATGTGCAAAGTTTAAAAAACTTCCGCTGTTTACTTTACTACCCTTTGCAAGGTCTGACTCAGTGTAATTTTCTACCGTTCTCACTTCATCTTTACACTTCTTGACCTCTAAGACAGAGCTTTTAATTATTTGCTATCAGTTTTGGTTTTGTTTTGTTTTGTTTTTATTTTTTTTTTTCTTTCTTTCCCCATTCCTAGTAGGCTCTCAGTCTATTCCTAACAGCTTCTCTGTGGTAGTTATTCATTCAGTGAGGTCTGGATATTCTTCCTACAAGCTTTTTCCTCTTGCTTGGCATGCGAAATTGTAATGGCTTTAGCATCTTGGACTTGAAAAAGTTCCAGACCTCCTCCACATCTTGTTCCTTAGCTGAGTTTACTAACTGGCTTCCTTAGTTTATCAGAGTTTGTTCTTTGAAATTCACAAGCTTAATTACATACTGGTTTATACTTCCATTTACTGTAATCTAAAATGACTTGTGTTCATTTAATCTAAGGTTATTTTCTACAGCCATCTGTTCTACAGAGTCTACAAAAACCAAGCTTGAAATAACACTGTCTTTTGCTGGCCCCTTTGGAAAGCTTTTGTCCAGGTCCTATGTTAACTGGAGACACAGAAATCGCCTTGAGAGCTTGTCTCTGGAGTCCAAAGAAGCACGGGCACTGTAGCATTCCAAGCACAATTTGAACAACTTTCTGCACTGTAGTAAAGGGAGGACATAACTGGCTTTAACTCTGTCCTTAAAGCAGGACAAAGCTTTCTTCCATCTAAAACCGTATCATCACCTGAAATCACAGCTCAGTGAGATTCTTGCCCATATAACAAGAATAACAAGACAGGGTGGTGTTTTACCCATGCTGTGCAGCAAGTATCTTCTGACTTGATCTTCTAATACAGATGTTACTACAGTTCAGTTGGCGCCTGAAACTATTGGCCATATTCTGTCTCTGGATCCCTCAAGGCAATAGGACTGGCTGTTAAAAAGTCTCATAAGATATTCACTCCCTGTTTTAGGCAGGGTATTTATTTGTAATAATCCAAGTTCATGACTCCAGACATGTAAGATGTTCAAAGCCAGTAATGCAGAGGAGAATGTCACTTTTAGGCTACTACTCCATGGAGGAATCCTCCCCCCACCATTTCTAAGCAAATGCAGACCCCTTGCCCTTCAAACCAAAAAAAAAACCAACAAAGCAACAACCAAACAACCCCAAACCAAAACCCACTGAGTTCTACAGCTTTTAAGTCCACAGTTTTCCACCTACTGCATATTGACCCCAATTTGATTTTGTAAAAGAACCATGGAATATTTGCAATGCTTCAACCCGGCACACTGATTTCACGATCAAAAAAAATAGAGCAAATCTTCTTTGGTGGCAAAATGAAGCCCAAATGACATGCAGAAAAAGACAGACATACATGGGAAAGATATTTCAGTAACAATTAGAACTAAGAAATGTCAGAAAATTGATAAGGAAACTAAAAATACTAGTGAAGAATGTGCAAAAGAGCAAGGCTAAGTACATTTAATAGGATTTTTTAATATGCATTAGAAATAAAATTAACCTTAGAAAAGCTCACAACTAGGGAAGAATAATAAAAATTTTAAACGCCCCATGGAAAAGGCACAAATGTTCAAGTAAGTATCCCTGTTCTACATTTGGAAAGAGGCAGGATTGCATAGTTGTACTGCGTATGAATGATGCCACACCTTCCAGGCTATTAATCACAGACAGAGAAATTCGGTAAAAAGCAAATATGCATACATTGAATGCACACAAAGGGGGCAACTCCACCTACGTTTACAGCATCGGTGAGACCAACACCGGAACCCTGCATGTCGTTTTGGTATCCAGTTTCTTAAAGGATATGGGAAAACTGGAAAGGGTACACCAAAGTGACATGAAAATGATTTGATGGCTGATGAGAACCTCTGAAAGTGAGTCTTCAGTGCTCCATCCAGTTTGTCAAGAAAGAGTGGTGAATAAATTACTGTAGATAAATACTTCTATGCAGAGGAAATTCTGTTTACTAAGAGGCTTTTGGTTCTAGCTGTAAAAGTCAGAAAAAGGACTGATTGGAAGCTGCTGCCAGATAAATTCAAATGATAATGAGGTACAGTGTTGAAACAGGGTGATTAATGATGGTAGCATACTACAAAGGCAAGTGACCAATTCTCCACCCCTAGGGGTCTCCAGATCAAAACTGTGTATCTTCTCAGAAAATGTCTGTCACCTAGGTGCAAATTATTTACTGTGCCCAATACCAAGGTAACTGAGCTAGGCCTAAGTTTCAGAGATAGCCAGGTAGCTTGAATCAGTGTTTGCTTCTGGCCCTACGTTCCCAAAAAGCTGAACGATGGCAGTAGAAGAGAACTCCACATGCCAACAGGTTCTTCTTTTTACCACCAGCCTGTCACTTTGACAGCTCGGGGATGACAGTTTCTGAGACGTAAACCTTGAAAGTGGGCCATGACAGCACCTGGTTTGTTTGGAAAGGGCTTATGCGTCTGCACACGTGTGCCATACAGTATCTCAACGGACCCAAGAACTCACCGGCTTTAGCAATGGAAGTCTGTCATTAAAACTGGAATTATCAATATTGCACGTAATATTCACAAAAATGCAGAAAATGTGACCATACACGGTTACTGGGCCATCACTGGACTGTACCCTATCAAACCTCCAAGTAATTTGGTATCTACCTCAAGCCTTCTGAATCTGCTTCAAGAGGAAAGGGTCGGCATTCATCTTACCCTGCGACCAGCCTCGTTGTTCTGCAAGTTCATCAGCATGCGAGCCTGCTCCTCCGAACCTCGCACGTAGTTCTTCTCCCTCTCCTTGGCATCCACAAACTCCTTGGCAAAACGATACCCATACTCCACGTTATCCCCGCAGCCGCCCCACAGCCAGTCTCGGGGCAAGTCCTTGGGCCGGGCCGTCCGGCTGCAGCCACAGCTGGAGAGCTCTCCCTCGCGGCAAGCCCGGCTGATCGCGTTCACCACCCCGGCAGCGCTGACGGCGTAGGTGAAAGCTGTCTCCCGGCTCCCTGCGGGAGAGACGTGAGAAGCAAATTAACGTGAGACGGATTTCGTTTAACAAACACGGCACGGCGAGGAGCAAGCAAACGGGCTCCGGACAGTAGAGCATGGTGTGCTCTGAGGAGGTGCACAGAATTAACTGGAAGAAGGGAACGGGGTGGTCAAACGCAAGCGTACCCCCCCCACTCTGGTAGAGGGGGAACTGGCCTAACACATGCTTGTATCTTGGTTTTGTTTTCATTTCACTGTAACTGCTCCTATCAATTGACCGTCTGGAAGCTGGCAGTTTCTGTGTAACCAGGATCAACCCCAAATCTGATTCTCTGACACACACCAGGGATGGGTCTGAGACTCCTGCTGTTGCCTGGAGGAATGTTCTTGGGAAGAGCTTGTTATTCATGAATTTATAGGTGCTGCTCCTCAAGGGTTATTACACCTCTATTATTTATTACACCTATGTATTCCCATTTAAGAGCCCTGGAAACTCCAGGCCTTGCCCAAAAGAAATAGCAATGCCATAGGCATGGACTGCTCAGCGTCTTTCCCCTTCAGTATCCTCTCATTATAACGTGGGGGAAACTCTCATGCAGCAGGAGGGTTGTTCACTTGCAGAAGATACAGCTGCTGAATTTGCCAGTAATCACTGGGAACAACTAACAAAGTCAGGTCTGTGCAAAAGGAGTATCTGGTTAAGCCAGATATCACTCTGGGATGGTTTTCATTTAACTGGGACAAGCACTCTTTACGGGCTTCTTGGTTCACTGACCTTATTTTGGTTTACATAAGGTCAGCTGAGAATTGTTTTGCGACAAACTGAAGGAAACCCACTTTTACACTAACGCATCAAGGCAGAGGCCCTCCCAATGCCTACAGGACCGCAGTGCTGGAACAAGTAAAACTTTCCCATGTAGACAATAACAAATGAAAAGACTTTCCATTAGCAGGTTTACTAGAGACTGCCCTACTTGGAGTGTATGCTCTATACAGCTTAGAGTCTGAGCCAAGCAGCTGGGTCGGGTCTCTAGCTATGTATTCCTGGCAGTAATTCAGCCCCAATTTGACCGGGGCACCAACGCAGCCAGAACACTGCATGAGGCCAAGTGTGCTGCACCAGCCAGCGCTGCGGGTCTGAAGCGGGGGGAGGAGAGGGGGATGAGGAGAAGGAGGCAATCCACACCTGCACTCTCACCACATGGTGTAATAAATAGCTAAACCGACACCTTCAGAGTCATTTGGTGTGCATCACCAAACTTTCAGGTGATAAAGAGAACAACTGCCAAAGCTTCACTGGAATAAGCAATCTGATTGTGAAGAGCTCCTTACACCAAACCCCAGCAAGATGCTCTCAAGCAAATTTGAATGACTTCAGAGGGTAGATCCTCCAAGAACAGTTTGTCACCAGCCCACGAGGCTCTCAGTGCCAGCTCCCTCAGGACTGAGCTGATGCTTTTGGTATGCTCTTGTTCCAATTTGCATGTGCTGACAATCTGTAATTAATAGCAGCTTATCACCAGCTTAGTGGTAATGACCCAAGACAAAGGCAAGGCTGTAAATGGCATCCACCTCGCAGAACAATTTGTGATTTTTTTTCCCCCCCTCAAATGAGAGTTGTACACTAAGGGCTTCTGCTCTGGAGTACAGCACAAGGCTAGTAAAATGCTACAGGACACATAATAGAGAAGTGAGAGCCTTACTAGCAGGTCATAAGGAGAGGACTATGCCCCCCAAATCTCCCTGGTCTGAGAGTTAGAGAGGAGTGACTCCTAGTTAAGGTAATTCAGCTGAGACTGGCCCATAGGGGAGTTACGGTAATTTTTCAGCAACCAAAATCAAGTTTTTATTCACCCAGTTTATTTTGCATGTTACAAGTATTTTAAGGTAATGGTCCAACGTGCAGTTTTGCCCCTACCAGTCTGTGTCTATGGTTAGAGCCCTTTGGACACATCAATTGTCCCGTTAAGTAGATCACTCCCTGCATCTATAGAGATTAAAATACATACAAGGAAAGGACCTCCCAGTGTTACAGCTTGTGCAACAGAGCCTGCATGACTCCAGGTGCTCAGCATCCTTACAGCTTGACTCGGATCCTGGAAAGCACAGGCTGGACTTACACTTTTACTGTCCATATTTAACCATCTCCATGTTTCAGCTGTAGCAGCACGACAGCTTGATGTGCAGCCCCTGGATCTGCCTGAGGAGTTTAGGCAGCTGAGGATGGTGGTGGGAGAGGCTGAAGTAAGTCACAGCTTTTTTTTTTTTTTCTTCTCCCTTCTTTGCTGTCCACAAAGCAGAACAAACCACAGTGCTCACTAGATGTAGATTTGGTTGACTGTGGCTTGGTTTGGGCAGTGGGATCAGACGTGTGCGTGAAACCCTGTGCTAATACAAAGCAAATTCGTAGCGGGCAATTGTGGGTTTCTACATCCTAGTTTTCTCTGCTCTCCCGCCACGCCGTCCAGCCTTGGGAAGGTATCTGGGTTTTCACTCATCATCTCAAAGCTTGCTCCAGCTCCACACCTCTGTGCTGTCATCTCAAAGGACAGGGGTGCTACTCCCCAGATTTGTGCAGACGTGAACAGAGGTTACACGGACGGTCAGGCAGTAACCCCCCCCCCTTCTGCCGAGCCCTCCCGAGCGGTGGGCCGGGGTCACCCAGGGCCGGGCCGGGGACGATGCTGGGGGCTGCGGTCCCCGGGAGGCTCTGCCCGCCGGCCCCGAGCTCCACGGAGCTCTGCTGCCCTCCTGTGCCCGCTGGCCACCCGCCGCCTGGGTGTCTGGGGCTGCGGCAGCTTTCGGGGGGCACCGGCGAGGATGACAGGGCGAGCTGTGGCCAGGCAAGGCGTCAGTCCCCAGGGCTTGCTTTCCTGGAGCTGCACGAGGAGGAGGTGGGAGAACTGGCCCCGGTGGGGACGGAAGACAAAGGTGATGAAAATGTGTCACTAACTTTTTTGATGAAAGAGTTTTAGTTTCAACTGATTTTTCTTAAAGCCATTTCCCTGCAGTTTGTCAATCTCGAAGAAAAACAACAAAAAAAGATTTCTCTTTGATCTCTTATTTTATGACCTTTTTTTTTTTTTTTTTTTGCATTTGAAAAGGCAGAAGAGATAACATCTCTGGCTCCAGAAATGACTAGGCTGACCTGGAAACCCCAGCCTTGCTTTTAGGATTGCACTGAAGGAGATACATTCTCTCCTCCCCTGAGGAAATTCTAACCTTTTCGAGTGCTCTGTCCTCTTACTCATAAATGTAGAAGTAAGGAATGTGTTTGTATATAGAGATATATATCACACACACACGGTCTAAAATCTGTATTGGCAGAACAAGAAGCAACTTCAGAAGGATAATTTTTGTACATTGCCAGGTATCATTATTGAATAAACCACATTTCAAAGCTAAGAGCAATTCTCACAACAACACACACACTATGAAAAAACAATGCTAAAAAGCAGCCTGCTTCGGTGCTGTGGATGCCTCTACAAAAGCCCTGTATCATTAGACTGCCTCACATCTATGAAATGCACAAAATGAAGGTATAATGATTAAACACAGACCGACTGGGTCTCCCATTTCAGAGCTGAGCCAAGTTATGCGAGGGGGAAAGGAAACGAATCTTCCAGGTTTCTGAGTGAACGCTCTTGCGAGGATCTCCCAGAGTTTGGACTTGGCCAGGGCAGGTTCTCCCCACCTCTCACAATCTAGAGCAGCTCAAGAAATCATATAATATACGCCATGCCTGCATTGGTGGGTGGGCAGCCCAAGGTTGCTGGCACACTATACACCTTCTGGGTCCTTCTTATCTCTTCCTCCCCTCCTCCACAATACTCTGGCATGCCTCTGCACTCTTGCAGATATTCTGGTCTCCAGACCTTTCTCGTGCCATTGGCACAGAGTACAGAAAAAGGGCTGTGGTCCAGAACTGGGGCTCAGAGGTTGGGGAGACAGGCACACAGTATGAACCCAGGGAAGAATGACTTTATAGCTGACACAATCTGAGAGATTCAAATCCTTTGTTTTCTCCCCCAGTGTGGAAAATAGATTTTGCTGCAATGACGAACAATGCCTCATCACAAAGTAGGAAAAAGTACAATCAGAAGGTGGAACTAAGAGCAAAGAGAAGAGGCAGCATCCCCCTCCACAGCAGCTTATCACTGACTACACAACAGTGACCACAGAACTCGGCCACCTTTGGTGACATTGTTCCTACTTCTCTCCTGTGCTGTCTTGTGCTGGAGTATAAGCATCCAAACATGCTCTAACTGACCAGAGGATCTAAAGGAGATGGGTTCAAAACTCTTTGTTAGGATAGGTTTTTAAACAGCGGGTGACCGCAGGCAGTCACCTCACAGACACTACCATCAGCAGATTCCTCCCAGAGATACAACAGTACTCCCAGCAAACAAACGCATGCACACGCAAACCAGACAACAGCAGCAGCACTGCTGGACATACCTCATCACATACCCACACCACCTCTTTCCTCATCAAAGCTCAAATCTACTCCCAGTCTAAACTGACAGGATCAAATTAATTTTAGAGAGGAGGAATCTTCCCTCTTCTGCTACCCACTCCAGCCCCTTCTTCCCATACACCCTCTGATCCTTCCTGACAGCTTTTCATCCTTCAGCTCTGATCTTTGCTTTCTCTCAGTTCATCCTTACTTCTTTTCTCCAGGTGTGGACTCACCCACTGGATCAACCCAGGGCTGGAAGAAGGTACTGAAGAAGAGGAGGAGGTTTGCTCCAGAAGGGGAGATTCCTATTTTCTTGTGTCATTGTGGAATCACTGGAATCAATTTCAGGATCTGAAATTTACACCGTTCTTTGGGGTAAGTTACATGTGAAGGAGGGACACACCAGAAGAGAGAGACGGAGATGTATCTTCTGTTCTTTCTCTTTGGTGGCCGAAATTTCAGTTTTATACCCCAAAGCACAAGTTTTAGCAATCTGGGATTGCATGCAGCCTCATCTGGCCACCACCCTTGCTATCAGAAAGGGAGAGATCAATGATGTGCAGATGTCTTGGATGTGTGTCAGGAGCTGAAAGTATGTGTCAGGAAATGGCATTTCCCAGGGGGAGTACCCCAGAGAAGCAGGCATTTCTTGGGGGTATGAGCTGGGCAGAAAGGGAAGAATTAGAATGGCTCTGGCAGGCTGAATCAGGAATTCTGAAAGGTTGAGTAACACGTGCAGAAATACCCCTAAAATTCTCTAGGATGACATGTAAGAATTTCAGGATCAAATGGAAGGGATCACAGGACTTGGGTTACCCTGCTGCCCTATTGCCTTGATGCCCCAGGGGTATTAAAGATGCATCTCTTGGTGTCCTGCTGCCTGGGCGGGTTTTTTGAGAGTAAAGCTGAAAAGGTGCAAGCAATGCTGGGGGCAGCTGGGGGTGCAGGAGCTGGAGGTCTTTTTCTATGCTTTCCTAAATGTTTTCCCTGACATCACAACAGAGAAATAGTGCTGGTTCTTCAGTGTAAATGATCGGCTTTGTGGGTGGGAAGCAAAACCTCTCCACACAGAGGTTGGAGAGAGTGCATGTGTGTGTGTGTGTGAATGGCTGTTTTAACACCTTTTCTTTATTGTCCTGACTGTCGGACACATCAAACTGAGCCCGGATTTCTCAGTTTCTTGCCATCAGATGATTGCATTTCAAAAGGAGCTGGGACAATGTAGCTAGGTCACACCTCAATTCAAGTGCAGCAATGGCCTGTCAATGTGCCTCTTATAGCCAGCAGGGCAGGAATTATAAAAATCTCTTAGGTTTACACAGAAAGTGGCAGAACGGGGAGGGAGGGAGATCCCATGCCAGGGGAGTCCATATTTCCCACATCTCAGGGCCACATTCCCTGTCCGAGAGCACTCCAGATGCTGTGAATGATAACACGGGTCCATTGTTCCCGATTCCAGCTTCTTCCCTCCCTATCTTTAAACAAGCACACAAAATAAAAGCAGCCTCCCTCTTCCTGACCTTCCCACGCCCCCCTCCACAGAAAGCAGTGTGTGTGTGTGTGTGTCTCCCCCCAGCTCCTGCTGTGGCTCAGGTGCACTTGCTGCCACCCACCCAGGCAGAGGCAGCACTCCGGCAGCACCAGCACACCAGGGAGTGGAAAAAGCTCATTAAAGGCAGCTTTAGGAGTGGTGCTAATAGGGTTCATCACTCCCGCACGTGTATTTGAAGAAAGGGAGAAAGCTGCACAGGGGCAGCACCTGCCCCAGACTGGGTGCTCCTACCTATTTTCATGACCCGTCCAAAGACGGAGGTGTTGTCCACCGTGCTGCAGTTCCACCGCCGCTGCCGAAACTGGTACTGGCACTCCTTGATGGCACTGCGGGCCCCCTCCCCGATGAACACCATGTGCTCCTGGTAGAGCTGGCAGAGCTTGCGCTGCCCGGGGGAGAGCCCCGGCAGCTGGCTGCACACCGGCTGCGCGCCGATGATGTACATCTCAGGTCTCTGGATGGGATTCATGGCCAAAGACCTACGATGAGAAAAACATCCAAGGGAGTCTGGAGGGAGAGGCCCCCTCCGCAAAACGCCCGGCACCTTTCCCCGCCAGCCCAGCCCAGCCCCGCTCCCAAAGCCCGGGCGCATTTCTCATGTCAGCTGCCTCCCTCTACGGCTCTGCCAGATGCGAGGCTTTTCCAGGGCTCCAGCGGGAGAAACACAGCTCGTTTGTAACCCGAGTTTAAACGCAGAGGACACCCGGGATGGGGAGGGGGCAGAGAGAAAGCTCAGCACTTTCTCTGCAAAAGAAGAAAGTGAGCTGCTTTTTTACAGCCCGCCAGCGAGCGATGCCTGCCTTCAAGCCGGGCTGTTTTCCGCTCTTTAGGGGAAAGGGGGGCTCCGCGGCTGCTCCCAGGGCTTTTGGCAGCGGGTAGGAAACCTTACCCATCCTCTCCTTACGCTTTCCCCACATCCTAAAGCCCGGAGGAGATTTCAGCGCGCCGTTACAAAAGGCGCCCAGAAACGCCTGGAGGAGAGGGGCTGCGTCCCACGTCCCGAGAAACTGGGCAGGGACAGCGGGAGGGCTGGGGAGGGAACCTGGAAAGAAGCGAGCCGCTGCAGCGAAAGAAGCCCGGGAGGCAAAAAAGTTCCGGCGGGGAGCGCCGGGCAGCCGCACCGCTCCCGGTGCCCGGTCCCCGGCCCGCGGCGGCGGACAAAGGCGGCGGCTTCGCGCCCCCCCCCCCCCCCCCCCGCTCCTTTTCGCCCTCACTCACCACCAAGAGTTGGCGTCGGCCACCGGCGAGGTGCAGCTGCAGAGGAGCGCGGCGGCGAGGGCCAGCCTCGGCCCGGTCATGGTGGGCTGCGGGGGGGGGCGGCGGCGCTGGGGCAGCCCCCGCAGAGCCGGCCGCCGGGACGGGGCGCCCTGCGGAGAAACGCCGAGGAGGAGAAACCCTTGGAGCGGGGCCTGCGTGCCGGCGGGGGCGCGGCGAGCACGGCCCGGCTGCCGCCCCCTCCCACCCCGCAGGACCCTCCCCCGGCCACCGCCTCCCGGGGGCTCCGGCGGCAGCCCTGCCTCCCTCCCTCCCTCCCTCCCGCCCCCGGTCCCGGGGCTCCGCCGTCCCCGGCCCGCCCGGTGTGTGTGTGTGTGGGGGACACACACACACACGTGTGGGGCTGGGCTCGCCCTTAGGGGCGTCGGGAGGGGCCTTTGGGCCCTTTGCTGCGCTCCCCACCCCTCCCACCCGTGGTCCGGCGATCCCACCCCGTGGCGTGGCGTGGCGGGGAGCCCCGCGGCCGCAGGTGTGCGGGGAGCCGGCGGGGCACATCATCAAAGCGCCGCGCTGGCCCCGCTACTTTTGTAATGCAGGGCCGGCTCGGAAACGAGCCGCGCCCCCCCCCCCCCCCCCCCCAAAAAAAAAAAAAAACGGCCTCCAGAACGGCCGCACGCCGTGGCCCAGGCCCCACGCCCCGGGCTGGGGGTCTGCGAGGCTCGGCGGGGCCGCCGGCGACGAGCGCAGATGGGGCTGGCACCAGAGCCTAATGGCTTTATGGGCAGGGGTGGTGGGCAGGAGAACGGCTTCAAAGGCTCCTCTTGTCCAAACACCCTTCTCCCTTCCCCGCTCGACCCACCGGGAACCTCAAAGGCGGGGGGCAAGCCGGCAGCTCCTCAGCCCTTTCCCCTGCCAGACCCCGGCAGAAAGCATCCCGGAGCCCTGCGGGTACTTGGGACAAACGCTCCCGGCGCCCTGCCTCCCTCACCCCCCAGGGAAACGGCCGCCTGTATCACTCTGTCGCCTCCATCTCTCCACGGTCTCCCACCCGCCCTGTCCCACCCTGCGCCGCACGGTCCCCACCTCTCCGCCACGGACAAATGCCCCCCTGCCTCCTCTCCCACACAGCCTCCTCGCCGGGCTTGCCGTCCTCCCGATCCTGCCCCTGTGGTGGCAGCTCCCCAAATGCAGGCTGAGCGTGCGGGTCCCCCCCAGGTTGTGGCCACGGCCTACGTGGTCCGAGACCCGCAAGAACCCAGCCTTTCACTCTCTCTGCTGCACGAGCAGCGCCCGAGACATGAATCACCAGGCTCGGCAGCTCAGACCACTGAAGTATATTTTTTATCGAATTCCTCGCGCCTGCCATGGTGGACTTGCTGTGTTTGTTTGCAGCACGCTTCGCTTCCTCCCCCATCCAGATGTGCTGTACCTGCAGCTGGCGGCCCATCTCACCTGGCAGGCAGATGTGGGGCTGCAAGTGCCAGAATTAGCCTCAGGACAAAAAAGCCTTGTGTGACCCAGAACCTCGGCAGGAGGGGAGTTTTACTGCTTGGGCACAGCAGGATCCATGTCTGAAGAAAACAGGGTGACTTTATTCACATCTTCTATATCCTCCCTTTTCCTCCTCCCACAGCCCCGAGCGTGACGGAGGGATGGCGAGGTGTATGTGTGTGTAGCCACGCATACATGTTTTGGGTCTGTTTCTATAGGGAATAGACAGAATGGAAAGTTTATCTCCGGGAGTCTAGGGAGGAAGGAAGTTGTGTATGGTTGAATGGCTTTTCCATGACAAACAATGAGTCTGCACAGACATGGTGTGATGTCACCTAAAGAATTTCCAAGCCAGCCTCAGATACAGAAAACCTTCTCGCTGGCAGAGATGACAGCATCCCACCTTTCCATCTCACCACAGCCAGAAGGAAGAACTAGCGCAGGGGGAAAGAAAAAAAAAAAAAAAAAAGCCTTTGCTGTCTCACACACGCACACAAGGCATGTGCCGTGTAAACAGATGACACGAGGGGAGCGGTGTACCTCTGAGCTTCGCCCTCACCAACCCTCCTCGTTGCTTCTGAGAAAGGAGTAAACCATGGCGAGCCGCCCCAGTGCCTCTCCCAGCCAGGAATGCAAGATGACACCGGCCGATGGGGCACTTCCACAAATACAGGTGATGTCAATGTCCGTGGGCAACGAGGACGTACCACCACACGGTGCTGGACTGGTGGTCCACCCCCGGGTGCCGTGCCACGGTGGAAACAAAAACCTCTCCCAGCTGGTAAAGCTCATGTGAAACTTGGTCCAGAAACATACGGCGTTAATTAAATATCTCATTTTAAGTATTAATACGTGAAGGCAGCCAATGATTAACAACAGCAAAGTGTTGTGAATGCTGCTAGTAGCAGCCTGACCGCCAACAAGCACAAGCAAGGCAATGATCTTATTTTGAAATGTGAGACATAAAAATTGCCATATGGGATAAGATCGCTTATTCAGCCAACATTATACCCTGTCAAAGGTGGCAACTAAAGGAGATGCTTCAGCGGGAAGGGTCTGAAACTCTGAATTCTACCTAAATTCTGCTGCTAGTGAAAGTGACTGCCGTTGAGTTAAGATGTGAATTATGGAAGTGAGTCCTTTTTAAGGTGCTGGAAGTAATTTCTTCACTGGCTGTGTTTATGACTTCAGATAAAGTGGTAGTAGCAGGTGAGGCATTGTTGGAGGGATTTAGCCTTAGCCAGCAACTTCCAGACTAAAAGCTGCAAAGCACTTGGCTGGGGGTCCAAAGAATACTGTCTATCCCTCTTCCTTGCGTCTGTTTCTACTTGCCACCAAAATCTTGAAAGTGAGCTTTCCATTTTGTAAATAAAAAGCTTGGGTTATTTTTTAAGTTCAACTGCAGGGATGGTTCAAACAGCTTTGACGAGGTTGTTTGCCAAAGCAGGGCTTGGTGGCAGAAGTCAGTGAAATTCTGTGAGGATGAGAGGTGGGGTGAAGTGGGGCTGCTGATGTGCTGGGGTGAATGGAGTTAGTGAAGCGTCAGGTAAGAGAGAAGAGGGTAGGGTGCTGCTGGCAGGTAATCTGGGATGACCAACTGGGATGCTGGGAGGGTCATCAGGACTTAGGGGGTTCAGGGGAAGGAAGCAAGTGAGCAGAATTTTGGATTGGGTCCACGAGTAGCATGAAGGGGGGTCACTACGCTAACAGGTATTGGGAAGGCCCTAGAGAAAGCTGGTCTCACCTGCCTTTTGGTTCACTGGTTAACCCCTGTCTCAGATTCAGGACAGCCCAACCTCACCCCAGGCAGACCACCTCTACTGGCCATCACCTCTGTCCACCCCCGGTCACCCAAGTGACTCCTACTTTCATCCCAAACCATCCCTCCCCTGCAGCAACCCACTCACGCCAACTCAGACCGCTCCTGCTATAGCAGAAGAAGAAGGGGCAGTAGAAAGACCTCCAAAACCAGGGGTTGCTCTTGCTTCCACTGAAAAAGGCCCCATCCCACCCCTTCCAGTGGGCAGTACACTCAAGCAGCAGTAGTGAGCCCACACTGCGGCTCAAGCACTTCAGGTCTGATGCTTGCACCCAAACCGCTGAGGATCACCTGAGCCAAAGAGGGAGCTGTTTCCTGAAAACAGGACATGAATCTCAACCCTCAGATTAAAGGTCTAATGCTCCCTTCTTAAGAGGAAAGAGCAGTGGCAGCAAGCTTGCATCTTTGTAAAGCGCTGGCATTCTGCTGTATTCAACAGTCTGCTGCCCCAGGCAACTGTCTACTGTGTTGCCTGCCTGCCTAAAATTGGTACCTGTGTTTGCCTTTGTTCGATTTTCAGAAGTGACAACTGTGCACGAAGCATAAATTTACACATCGAGTTTCCAAAGTCATGGCAGAGCAGCTGGAGAGCTATCACTGCTTTCCCAATACCGTCCCTGCCGTGTTTGCTGGAGGGAAGCTGCAAGACTCCAAGAAAGGGAGGTCATGTCCATGAGATCATTTGCAAAGATTTGGCAGACTGTAAAAAAAGTTGAACCCTGGCTGGAAGACAGCCCTGACAAATGAGAAAAGGAGAGTTACTCATGCAAATTCTTTGTCCTACCCTTATTGTTTTTCAAAAATCTGGGATGTCCCCAAGTGTGACACAGATCTTTATCAAGTGCTATAAAGGAGTGTTGAAAGAAAGCGTAGGTCTCTTTCCACATAACTCCAATGATTCTCATTTTTGCAACTTGTCTGGTTTCTCCCAGGCTGGGGAGAACTGGACATACATGCTGCCTGTAATGATCAAGAGCTTCTTTCAAGTTCCTGTTTATTCTTGCAACTTGACTCTGGTTCAATGCTTCTTTTTAATGCCTTGCAACGTCCAGTGCATCCAGAATCATTTCTTGCTCACTCTGACATAAGACACTTACTCAAGACAGATAAAATACTCACTGAAGTACAGTCTCCTCTACTTAAGGAGCCAGTAGAGATGCACTGCATGGGAAGGAGGGTTTCCATGTGCTGCTCTAAAGGGAATCCCTGCCCTCTGGTTCTATGCCATGGACCTGCTGGTTGGCAGCACCAAGGGCTGTACTGTAATGTCCGGCTACACATCTGCTTCTGGCAGCCAGGCTTGCTTTTAACCACAGTTCTTACAAAGACTTCAGGAATCTCATTAAAGTCACATACTTGCCCATTCAGCTGAACCAGTTTTAGAGGGAATGTAGATTAAAAAAAAAAAAAAAAATAAAGAAAGTCCCTTGAAGCTAAATTGCAGCCCTCACACAGAAACCTAAATCATCTTTTATCCCACCAGCCCCCACTCGCTTGGTGCTGTGCTGCTCCCCTGCAGCCGACCTGTCCCTCTCTCAGCACCATACCACCATGCTGCTGTACTGGTGTCAGCCTTCCCAGATCTAAATGTGTTATTTTATTGGTATTGTGATTATTATTTAAACAGCAACCAGAGTCACCTCCACAGGTTCAGATCTAGCTGGTGTGTTACAGAAGGTGTAGTAAAACCTTCTCAAAGTATCCCAGCACATCAGTCCTTCGTGTCTGCCTCTTTTGTCTTGACATTGCCTTGCCTCGTTGAATTGTTACACGTCTGTCTCCACTGGAAGGGCAGATTATTTCTGTTTATGTCCTGCTTGTTTCTTTTGGTACTTATAGACT